CCTTGCTTCAGGAATAGGACGAGGTTTCTGATTGCTACATTTCGTACACTGATTAACACATCCACACTCCTCAAACTTATGAAAAATATTCAAAACAGTTCTAGCAGTGGGGATTGGTTCGTCGGGGTATGAAAATATAAATCGACAACGACTTCCTCTGTATTTTCTGCACGACAATACTGTACAGAATCCTGTGGATACCTAGATATAAGATTTATATTAATCACTTATTTGTAAGTTTAGGCCTAAGCAGTTCTTTGTATTTAGGTATCTTTTACAACTTTGTTTACTTGTTAACACCATTATGCGATTAGGTATACAATAGCAGGAAGGACATTGTCGTATAACCCTACGGTTGCGTCGGTAATCGTACTGCAATTTCCTGTAATTTGTAATAAAGTGATTTAAAGTTTTGGACCTAAACCAGGTAACTCGGGATTTCCGATAATATTCATGGTACCTAGCGTACCTCTACCCATTATAAATAGCCATGTAGCAGGCCTTTGGTCAGTTAGAAATAAATGATCAAAATAAGCACTTCAATCAGTCTAAGAATACAGTCCACAAAATAAATAAACTAGTGTAAGCAACAAGAAGTTCATCATTCCAATCCCAAACAAATACCATTTAATAATATTAATTTTCTGTTCGACACTGTACACCATTTTTATTTTGTAATATTCCGTCTACTTCTTATTAAAGGTTTGAGTGGAATAATGGTAAAAATAAACAAACAGCAAAGCGCTGTAGGTATTCAGTCGGTTCACAAAAAATGCAATGGGGCACGTGCACTCCCAAAGCCAACCAATTACGAGAGTCCGAGTCGGAGCCTCGATGATATATGTCATGTCCGACCCCTTCCACCCCAAGTTGATAGAGGATATGCGTGTAATTTGCTTAGTCTATGCGAAAGAATTACCTGGCCAGGCCGGTAGAATTTTATCACCAAGTACTAATGTACTGCGAAAGTTAATGAAACAACAAATAATTTCGTTCATATGCACCATTATTAACTTGTAGCATATTGGACTAAGAAAATGTCACTAGAAAAAACTTCTTATTTAAGTAGTCTAACTCGTCACGGCTCGCCACCAGATTCGATTTACTATTGTATTTTTTTTAATATAATAAGTTAAATAATGATTTTTGTCACTGTTTTATTTTATGATTACATCTGAAAAGGTGGCAAATACCCCATGCGAGGTTTTGGTAGCACTACCTAATTTTAGCTCAAAAAGGTAGCATTTTTCTGAGAACGTTCGGTCCATTCCCATTACCAAGCATAATATACAACAATATCCTCGATGAAATATTTACTGAAGAATTCACCTATGAACAAATTAATATACTCAAGACATATTCATCATCAGGTCCCGATGAAATTACAGTTCGTATTTCATAAAAATATGTATTCACGTCATTATCTCAAATTATGCAAGTCACTTCTCTTCTCTTCCCTCTCAACAGTTGTTATTCTGATTTATAAAAAAATATAACAAACTTGACCCCGGCGTTGACCCTATATCATTGATCTTCATCCTGACCTTGACCCAAATAACCAACCTGTAAGTGTTACAAAATTTTGGATTGTTCAAGTTACACATTCATTCTTATTACTTGAAAATAGACACCATACCTCAGGCTTCATGCTGCTTTGTTTTACCACAGTGTCATCTGTTTTTAAATGTTCTAAATAAATTATATAGAGTCGCCACCATATTCTCTTCGAACGTCTTACAAATTTTGTACCAAATTGAATCGTCATTGCTTTCATTCAATATTTATTAAAGACCTAAGATCATTTGTTAACTAAACCACCAGATACATACCGATCCTGTATAGGTATTGAGTAGTAGTGACCATTCATAAATGTAGTACTCTTCTACATTCATTCCATAACCTCCAAAGTCTCAATGATAGCATACTGATGATAAGGACTCATAAGACGAAATAGGTATATGTCTGGTGGTTCGGCAGACGACCGTTTACTAAACATTGCAGATATAGTTCAATGATGGTCTAAGCACTAGCATAATTAATGGGTTATATTCCTGGGAATTACCGAGTTATTTGTCATATTTCCCGAAAAATATAATTTTTCAAAACTAGGTATGTTTTTATAAATATCACCGTGATTTTACAAAAATAAGAAATATGAAACACTTGAACCTTCAAGTGTTAATGATAAACGGTTTCTCATTTATCACAAAATATTATGATGATTTCTTTTATTCTGTTATTAATAGGTACATTTAATCCCAGCTACTAATTAAATATTTGTTCATATCAGTTATATACATAGGTTAGACAAGGCAAGAAAACCAAAACATTCTAAATATTTTATATTTATACATAATTATTACTTGTTTTTATACTTTTACTTTATAATCCGAATAAAAAAAAAGTGTAATTCATTCACTAATGCAACAACGTAGTGATAAGATTTTTATTATTTACCACTAAAGATAACTAGATAAATAGGTTTTATAAAAAAAATGCAGACTCATTGTACCCCCACGAAAGTATAATATCTACTTTACGATATCTAATTAAGTATATAAGAAATTATATTTAATTTTGTTACTTTATTTTGCGGTTAAATTAAATAGTGGAATTTTCCATATGGCAAATGATAAACAAATAGATACATGAATTAAGCACTTATACTTGTCGCATAATATGAGTTGTCATTATAAAACGAGTTGCATATTTTTATATGCACACAGGTGTCGTATCCTTAAAGTGTGTATCTCATATAAAATCTGTATTAATTGGTTTTGATAATATTTTAGTTTCATTATGTCTAACGATTGATTGGCAGGAATCTTTAACACTGTTCTGTGTGAGTATCTCCTGCGAACAATTATTTGGACTAAATTAGTCCTTAATACGGCGACACGAATTGTATAGAATGTCTACGCTTTTGCTTAGAAGTGTTACGCATCCGCTTATTCCTTGTTGAAGCATACTTGTTATCACCGTCTGCCAGGCCAATCATTTTCTAGTTGGGCTTCTCCCCACCTACACAAAACGGTCCCTATAATCGGTTACCGCCAGATTCTAACCTAGCTTCCGTATAATGCAACCTCAGCTAACCCTTCCTCCGGAAAGCCTATATCTTTTTTAATACCATCACGACATTATACTCCTATCGAGGAACAACCCTTGCATCATTGAATAGAATTTATCACGGAAATGCATTTTAAGTCCAGAAAAAATCACTGATTTATTGGAAAGATTACCAAGAAACCAAGAAACATTAAGTAAAATCACATTTACTAGATATTTAAAACTAATTGAAATATATTTGCTGATCCCATGTGTCAAAGTTACAATTAAAAGAAAAACATTACAGTCCTACGAACTCATTTCTCTACGAAAAGTATCACTTTTTAGGAGTTATTTTACGTCTGGAAATACTTCACGTAGTGCTACAATCGAAAAAAATTAATCTTTCTTTCATTAACTAAGGCCACATTTTAATACAAATAGCTATCTTAAAATTTCCTGATCCAATAATTGATCTAATTTTAAAATTAGGTTAATAGATACCATTTAATGCCAACAAAAAAAATTATGACGGTGTCAATCCTTCCGTAAAACATTGCCATACGTTACTTTTTCTTATTAGAAACACTTATCCTTGATATAATACAAAATGGCGAAAACCCAAGATCATTCTTAGCATTTATATAGGCCTCCTTTTTTGTAAGTTTCTATAACAGAAAAACCTAACCTTTATTATCAGTTTAACTTTCTTTAATAATAATCAAGAAAACCAATTCGATAACTTGGTTGTGGTATGAAATGTATAAAATATCAGTCTAGCTGTGTGTAGATGCAGACAAATGTACACATGTTTAACTGCGATGCAACCATAATTTATTTAGAATTTTTTGTAAGTACAATATCGAGAATATTATAAAACTAAGTACAATATGGATTTCCATGAATAAATGTAGAATACTTAAATTTAAATATCACCATTGAACACCATTTGTTTCATGTCATACCTCCTTATCTTACCAGTAACTGTTTTGGTAATCTCTTCTACAATTTTAACACCCACTCTTAAGCGCTGATTATCTGGCACCCGTTGTCTTACATAGAGTTCAATTTCTTCCGGGGTAACATCCTTATAACCTTTATTTAACGCAATGATACCCATTGGATGGTCCCCATCAAAGTCATGTGGAATACCAATCACAACAGCTTCATTGACTGCTGGATGAGATAGAAGGACCTCCTCTAGAACAGCGGGATGAATGTGCCATCCTTTATATTTAAACATTTCCATTATTCTGTCCACAACAAAAAAGTCTTCATCGTAATAAGCTATATCTACAGATTTTATAAATCCTTCCGAATCATACGCCGAAGAAGAATCGATTTTATAGTACCCGTTCATTTGATAATCTATTTTGTATCGGAACTCTCCCCTTTCATTTGCACCAAGGGTCTTTTCTGTGACGGGGTTGACAATCTGAAACAACAAAGACTTTTCTTCTTATTTATGCACTTGTAAAATGTTAAAACAGTTCGAGCTCAACATTTATTTTAATCGTACGATTTTAAAAGTTAATCTTGATACAGGTGATACTGCACTTAACCTTTTTTAGTATGTACCTAATTGTTTGGACTACATAAGTAAAAGAGTAATTGTGTACAAATCTGAAAAATATGTTCTTAAATATGGAAAACTACAGGTATGTTCCCGGAAAAAAAATTCATGACGTCATCAACACAATTTTCGAAATATCTAAAACTCTATCAGAAATATTTGTCCTTAATATAATACTATAATAATATATTCATGTAGGCCTCCTTTTCTATAAGGTTCTTAAACAGAAAAACCTAACCTTCATTATCAGTTTAATTTATTTTTAATAATAATCAAGAAAAGTACACATTCGATGACTTGGTTGTGGTATGGAATATATAAAATAGACATTTGTGCGCTAAATTGTCTAGGCGTGTGTAGGTGTAGATGCAGACAAATGTACACATAAACACAATTTATTTAGAACTCCTGCAAGTACAACATCGAATGTTTTACATTATAAAATAAAGTACAATACGGATTTTCCTTAATAAATATAGTACAGGTACCCAAATTTAAATATCACCATTGAGCACCATTTGTTTCATGTCATTCCTTCTTATCTTACCAGTAGCAGTTTTGGTAATCATTTTTACAATTTTAACACCCGCTCTTAAGCGTTGGGTGTCTGACACCCTTTGCCTCACATAGAGTTCAAGATCTTCCGGGGTAGCATCCTTATACCCTTTATTTAACACAACAATACCCATTGGATGGTCACCATCTAAATCGTGAGGAATACCAATTACAGCAGTTTCTTTGACTGCTGGATGAGACAGAAGGATCTCCTCCAGAACAGCGGGAAGGATATGCCATCCCTTATATTTAAACATTTCCTTAATTCTGTCCACAATAAAGAAGCAGTTTTCTTCATCGTAATAAGCTATATCTCCAGATTTTATAAATCCTTCCGAATCATATGCCGAGGAGGAATCCATTTTGTAATACCCGTTCATTTGATAATCTATTTTGTATCGAAACTCTCCCCTTTCATTTGCACCAAGGGCTTTTTCTGTGACAGGGTCGACAATCTGAAACAACAAAAATTTTTCTTCTTATTACCTTTATTTACACTTATATGAAATTTTAGAACAATTCTAGATCAACAATTACTTTTCCATGATTTCCAATGTGACGCATGTGAGGTACTAACAAGACTTTTGATCCTATTTGTCATGGTACCTTAAAACTTGAGCTTGATACTGGTAATCACTTAACTTTTTTATTTGTACCTAATTATCCGATATACAGTCGTACAAGGATATCTAACTTACTTTCCAATTATACTCTGGTAGAACTTTTCCACAGGACAATGGTTTAACTTTTTGCAATTTTATCTCCTTTGGATCATTTACATTGAAGATGGCAATCATCCCCGAGGCTTCTGACTGTCCGTAGCCCTGCATAACAGTCGCGCTGGGAAAAGCTTCTGTTAGCTCTTCCATTAGCTTTTTCGTCACTGGGGCACTGCCTGTCATCATATACTTCAAGCTGCTGGTATCTACATCTTTTTGGCGGGCAGCTAAAAAGTCTCTAGCGTGATATGGCCCCAAAAAAAGACTTGTTACCTAAAGGAAAAATATATAAGTAAGTGTATGTGGTCCCAAATTAAATACACCTTTAGTGAAGCCTACTCCTATTAATGTCACCAAGAAATATTTTTTGTTTAGACTCATTTAAAGATTAATATCAACATAATTAAAAAGGAACTGAATGTAATTGTTAAAATAATTATAAAAAATATGTCTATCTACTTTGTATTTTTCTACAAGCCTCCACGTTGCAGCAGCGTCAAACTGTTTGCACACAACTTTAGCGCATCCTTCAGTGATACACTTTAGTAACATCTGTACAGCAGATATCCAGTACAGAGTGGTGTATAGCAACAAAACGCTTCCTCCATGATTATCCCACACTTTCATACCTTCATTTGAAATCTGACCAAGTATGCCATAATGGCTTAGACAAATTCCTTTTGGCAAACCCGTTGTCCCACTGCTGAACAATATAACAGCCGTTTCCATAACGTTGTCAACCACAACTGGTCGAAAATTATCTTCTTCAATACTAGGTTCTAAATATTCATTGAAATTCGAATATTTTTCGCTTTCTCCAAATACAACCAACTCTGTGTTTACTTGAGATTCCTTCAAACACTTTTCCATAAGTGGTAACGATTCCAGGTCGATGAATATAATTCTCGGCTTAATCAGTTTCAGAAGATGGATCGTATCTAAATGAGATAAATTCGGATCAAAGTAGGCTGTTTTAATCCCAAGGAACAGTGAGGCAATAAAAGGAATGATGGAATTTTTTTGGTTGTGACTGCAACTGCTAACGATATCATCCTTGGTTATTCCCTTTTCTTTTAGCCTCAATGCAGTACGTATGCTTCGTTTTAAAACTTGTCCTTGTGTATCTGTCTCATCAGTGTCTGGCAAATACTGAAAAAGAAATAAAAATCAAATGAAATTCATGAAAATCACATAAATAATATCTCATAAGTATAACCTATTAAACTAACTACAATTAATTGTAAAAGAGAAAAGTGAAACAACATTAATTATTATTATTAATATTCTTTTTTAATTATAAAATTATAATTTCCATCAAAAATAAATTGTAGGTGTAGTAAATTCTCTGATGAAATTGGATGAGGTTAATTTCATACACATAAGTTTGAAGTATTAATAAATAAACATGGTAGATATCTAAAAAGTGAATAACACATGTTTTGGATTTATATAAACATAAAACACACCACAGAAATGACACATAGTAATAAGTTTAAAATAAAACAGAACAATAATAAATTGAGAAAGCAAGATATCTATATGAACAAACAAACATATTTTCCCAGCTCTTAACCATAAACGTAGACAATACAATTTTGCGTTATTTAGTTGAAATATGTCACATTACATTATACAGACAAACAATTTGTACAGTAAAGGGTTCACATGCTTAAAATGTTCAACTCAAAAATAGTATTTTTATAGTTGTCAATAATAATAAAGAAAGTATTTTAGCCTTAACTAGTCAATTGCACCGAGGCTCAAAAATATCGCCAATTGTTTTTCTGGACATATCAGGTACTCGCAATCGTTTTACGTTCAGTTGGTAGGTAGGTTTTGACATAAAATGTGCATTGGAGTTTTACTTGTGTCTCATTGTTATCATAATTGTCATAATATCGTAATTAGACAGTTTTTCAAAACAATAAATGTCATACCGCTAGTCATAAACCTATATTCATATATGATGGAAGAAAATATGTATATGCTTGTTTAATTTATATTAAATTTAACGATTTAAAAATTTAATTCAACAGCAAAGTGGTTCGTATCAAATTTTTAATTTAATATAATAAAATTTTTATTCATCAAGTAATTTTGAACCTTTTGCTTTGTCTTAACAAAGAGTTAACGTCATTATAATCTTCAAACATATATTAGACCGTACTAAATCTTAAGTTATTAAAATTAGAACCTACCTGTAAGATCCTATTGCTGTATTTTTTCAAACTTTCAAAGATTACATAACCCAAATCTGAATTACTATATCCATTTTTATTCTGATCGTTGTTCTGCAAGGTATTAATTCGTACATCTAAAATAACAACACCCCAATGATAAATTATATATATATAAAATAAAAATTGTTAATTAGTAAAATTAAAATAAATATAGAAATGAAAAACAAATTAATAAGATATGAGAATTAATATATTTTAATCACGTTTTTTTTTTATAGCTATTGTCCTATACTAAAAGAAAATATAATAATTCGCAGCTTTCAATTTCACTAACACATATACTATTTATTAAACTAATGTAACACTTTAATTTGAACACAAAATCTAATTTTTAACCAGCACGTTTGCACCATTATTTATCATACATAGTTCTGCTGAGTATAAAATATATTCCATTACCCATAACGATGCACAAAGCTTATATTTATAGATGTCTGGAAGGAAGACTGAAATAGAGGTATAAGTTTGACGGAGGATTTATAGTTTTTAGTTATCAGTGTTATCGCCAAAGCATTATACATTATTTTGACAACAATTATCTTTATTGGAAATGTAGAGCGATGCACTAATAGTAAACAGAGCAATATTAAAAACAATAAACAACCGCTGCGATAATAATAATAAATTCAGTAGAGTACATCCTGTATTCGACTTCTCGACTAAAGATAGAAGGTTGTAGTTTTCGCGGACATGAACCAATTTCTTAGGATAAAACTTCAAGTACCACCAAATGTTTCAATAGGTTTCTATTTGCCTCACTGACTATTAGATTTTGCTTATATTTAAACTTTAAACAAATCTGTCTAGTAAGGCATTTGTGTTTATATTTAGAAAGAGTTTTTTTTAAGATAAAACCCAAACCAGTCCAAACTAGGTCATAACAAACACGGTTTTCATTTAAAACAAATACATATTACTTTGGTACCTAATCTAAAACCGTTAGATAACTCAATTCGAGTTAGTACGCAATTGGATTGAAAATTTATGAAGTAAACTGTCAAGGAAAAAGATTTTTTCCTTTCCTTTCAGAAAAGTTCAGCTATAACTCAAAAACTAAAAAATATACCTATAGAAAATCTGTTTCACGAAATATGTATACAGGGTGTCCTGGTACTTGATACAAAAAGTCGAGTACAGATAGATGAGGTCAAAATAATATCAGTTCTTCATATACATCTTTTTCATAAGAGCCTTCGTTAAGTTACGGGCCTTCAAAAATGAAAAATAAAAAATTATTTCTATTTATAATCTTTAAACTATTAACTTTAGTATGATACAAATTTGGTGATCGATAACACATGCGTACAGCCTATTTTTGGTGTTGTAAGTGAAACTTTATTATACCCAGAACGCCAGGAACGGGCTATGCCCAATGGTTAACAACCCAAAATTTTTGCATAGATGACGATCGCAATCTTCCTGTATCAAAAATAAGTTCCCTGAAGAATTTGACAACTATAATACCCTCTTGGTTGAACTCGGTAAAATTAACAGTTTAGGAAATGTTTGTGATTTTATGTCACATTGCACATCGAGTGGCGCATCCACCATTTTTTTAATTTTTAATTTCACATAATTACCATGTGAAATGAAACCGTACATATTTTTAATATAACCAAATTTTCATGACCTAAAGTTAATAATTTGAAGGCCCGTATGAAAAAAAATTATATGAAGAACTGATATTATTTTGACCTCATTTATTTGTACTCATTTTGTATCAAGTACCGGGACATCCTGTATATTCGATGGCTTGGTTGTAGTGTTGTACACAGTTATAAATGCGACGTAACCATAATATGTAGGTTCCAAAAACATAACATAACATTTATTTAGAACTTTTGTAAGTACAATATCGAGTATTTTACATTATAAAATAAAGTACAGTTTGTTTGAATAAATATAGAATACTTAAATTTAAATATCGCCATTAAGCACCATTTGTTTCATGTCATTCCTTCTTATCTTACCAGTAGTAGTTTTCTTAACCTCTTCTACAATTTTAACACCCGCCCTTAAGCGTTGGTTGTCTGACACCCTTTCTCTGACATAGACTTCTAAATCTTCCGGGGTAACGTTCTGATACCCTTTATTTAACGCAACGATACCCATTGGATGGTCTCCATCTAAATCATGGGGAATACCAATTACAGCAGCTTCCTTGACTGCTGGATGAGTCAGAAGGATCCCCTCCAGAACAGCAGGAAGAATGTGCCATCCCTTATATTTAAACATTTCCTTAATTCTATCCACAATAAAAAAGCAGTCCTCTTCGTCGTAATAAGCTATATCTCCAGATTTTATAAATCCTTCCGAATCATATGCCGAGGAGGAATCAATTTTGTGGTACCCGTTCATTTGATAAGCTGTTTTGTATCGGAACTCTCCCCTTTCATTTGCAGCAAGGGTCTTTTCTGTGACTGGGTCGACAATCTGAAACAACAAAAATTTTTCTGAAATTAGAGCAGTTCGAGCTCAACAACTATTTTTACAAACTTTCCAATGTGGCACGTTCAAATGTTGAAGGTTATTAACATTTTTCTTATGTACCACATGGTCATCAAAGATATGTACAAAGATATTTGACTTACTTTCCAGTTGTATTCTGGATTAACTTTTCCAGAGGATAATGGTTTAATTGTTTGCAATTCTACCTCCTTTGGATCATTTACATCAAAAATGGCTATGATCCCTGAGGCTTCTGTCTGTCCGTAAACCTGTACAACAGCCGCGCTCGGAAAAGCCTCTCTTAGTTCGTCCATTAGCTTTTTTGTCACTGGAGCACTACCTGTCGCTATATATTTTAAGCTACTGGTATCTACATTTTTTTGACGGGCGGCTAAAACGTCTCTAGCAAGGTATGGCCCCAAAAAGATACTTGTTATCTAAAAGATTAATATGAATAGATGCAGCATGAGAAATGGAATCAATATCGTAAAAAAATTTTTGTAAAATCCTTATAGTTTCCGAGAAAAAAAATATTGAAGTTATAGTACATTCAACCACCACATAGCTGGACAACTGTAGTCTCTAGCGTCATTCGCCACGTGGCCTCAGCGACTCCGAATACTGAGTTCGAATTTTGCAATCGTCGTTGGGATATTTACCTGTTACCTGTCGTGTTTACAATAGGTTTTTAGTAGTTAGTGTCAAAAATGGGTAGTTAGTGTCAAAAATGGTTTGCGTGTACTCCGAGTTGATGGATATCGTTTTAATTTATGGTGAAGCATTTGTGTTATGGTGAAACAAGACAACATTTGTGTTAGTTCG